TCTCTCTCTCTCTCTCTCTCTCTCTCTCTCTCTCTCTCTCTCTCTCTCTCTCTCTCTCTCTCTCTCTCTCTCTCTCTCTCTCTGAGTCTCTCTCTAACCTCCCCAGTACCTAGATGTTATCAGCGCTAGATTCGGGCACCAAGTTCACTCGACTGTCGGGGTCGTAACCGCCCTGATAAGTTAGTGAAAATCCGACGAAACAGTCTTGGCACTTGATTTGCATTTCCCTACAACCCATTTCAATGACGCAACTGTGAGCTTTGCCCGTTCGTTTTCGATGAACAGGCGTTTTCATAAGCTCGTAAAAAAGGAAAAAGGGAAGATCTAAGAAGAAGAATAAGAAAAAAAATTAAAAAAATATAAGAGAGAATCTAAGAATAAATAAAACAAAACTTACTTACCTAAAACAAGAAACAGATGCCTGTTTTCAACAAAAACCTGTTTTCTGTTGGGGGACTCTAAGTCCCTTATCGCTCATTTTGGCGTCATCTGGCGCATCAACGTAGTTTATATATTTTTTTTTATTATTATTTTTTTAATACCGTTGGCTTAAGTCAACGATCACGGTAGTTTGTGCAGTGCCTTGCTAACACCTCGCCCATTCTCTTGCCGATGTGCAGACCCGAGTTCGATTCCCGTAAAGAAATCGGAAAAAAAATCACAATTTCTCGATTTATGTGTGTTGTCCTTGGGCGGGGGTCATGTTGTTGTAGCGCGGCCGTTTTCGGGCTGTGCGATCTTGCAAATCGCGTGACAGGAATCAACCGCATCGTTTTGTTTTTCCTACGGCCACTCCAAAGGAGCCGGCCCGGTAGGGTGCCGTCAGGTTCAATCCCAGCGCCTGCTAGGTGATAACTTAATGTTGTAACCTACTAGGCTAGCTTCTTTTCACGGAAGCTAGACCCACAATTCTTCTATTTGAAGAGCTGTTGCCCAGCAATTCACCCACTTTGGGATTGAGCAACCCCAGTCTGGCTCACATAGCCAAACGGTCGTCACCCCACCATCTAACCAGTTGGGGCTTAGCCCGATAGGCCCGATAAACCACACCTTTAGCCGCAGTCCGGCTTCAGGCCCCGAACAAAGTCAATCCTGTAGCCCCAAAAAAATAGGTCTCGTATTCCTTTCGTGTCGCGTCCCCATATCTATCGCGTCCACTCTTTTATGCCTACTTAGGTCATGAATCACGCGACTGTTATTATTTTAGGTATGATAGGTCTTTAGCTTTAGCATTCCCACGACCGTGTGCCTCCGCGGCCCTGCTAGAATCCGCGTATCACTAGTCACACTTCCGATTACCGCCATTATTATCGGACGTAACAAGCGTCCCGGCTAAAGTAAGAGTCTCTTGCTCATAGGCTAGTCTGAATAAACTTATGACAAACGTCAGTTTCATCAAGCCCCTTAATTTAATGAAAAATTCCGACAATGTTCAACATTGAAAAACCTGAGCAAATACCCTTGTAAGGGTTTCTGCTCCGACAACGAGATGGGGTGGGTTGGAGCGGGAACCGTTCCCACTCTGATACCAGTGTGACGGACCCACCGAAATGACGACTCGTCAAGATCAAGACGAAGGGATGAGGGATATGGAGATGGAGCTAGAAGGGACAACACAACTCCAATGCAGACTCAACATGCACATGCTCCGATCTCTGCAAATGAAAAATGAGTTGAAAGTAGTTTACGGTCGGTGACTGGCCTGGCCTGGCCTGTACTGACAGTGGTACCAGGTAGAACTGGATGGGAATGAATAAGCACACGACTTGTACGATCACGCCACGACCTAGTCCCATAGGCCTAACAGACAAAATAGCCAAATAACCCTGACTCTAGGCCAGGGCAACAGGAGGCACGCTGCAGTAACCGTCAACTCTTCAAGATATGAAGGTCTAAAAAATGCGCAATTTGAAAACTTTGGGTCCTTTTTTGGTCCTCTGATCATAAGGTGGGACTGATCCTATGTGTTCCAAAGGTACTGGTGGGGCAATCAAATAGTTGTCGGTCCTCTGCAAAAATGCAAAGGACCGATCACCACAAACCTTCCACCCCGGTTGTTCCCCATTTAGAGTGGACACCCACCACAAAAATTCATGTTACCTTTACACAAACACGAAAACTCACTATATCGCGACTTTAGGGTTGCCAATTAAATTTTTCGCCTTGCTGGTTCAATAAACAATGGCGTGCAACATAATCGACATTGTAAAAACAATGCTTGATAATACTTGTGGTTAAGCTTGATAACCGATTTCAGGGGCTCAGAGTAATGTTGTGGAACGTCTATCTGCAAGATTGACCTTTCATATTGAGGTTGTCTCATTACTGGTTATTGTTTTTTATAAGCAAAGGAGTAACGACATTGTACAATAGTGAGTTGGTAGATCGTCTCCAATTGGTACCTCAAAAAGACTTTATCATCCACTCGATCTTTGAGATCGGATTGTTCAGATCTCGCATGCCCTCTGAAAACTTAGGCTAGGCGAACCTCTCTTTCTAAGATGGTCAATTGCGGCGTTTCAATGCTAGTTTAAAAAACCGATGAGCAACAACTGCAACGAAATTGGCACCTCTTCACAACAAAATTGACATAACTAAGGCCTGTTAGTTCGCATCACGTTAGGGTTGCATTTTTCCCCCCTGAGATATTTCCCCCCCGAGACATTTTCGTCGTCCTTCGTTATACCGGTCGTTGATTCGAGCTCGTTTGGTCGTTGGAAGGTTCAAAAAATGCAAGCAGGTGCAGGCACGACACTTTGGGGGGGGGGGGGTGATTTCTTTGAAAAATGCGGGACCGATAGTTGCCCGTGGAACCGCGCGTTGGTTTTTGGTCGAAATGGTGGCAAAGTAGCGGTAGGGTGGAAAAGTGGAAAAGTCTGAATCGGAAAGGGTGCGACCTTGGCCGCAGGTTAAAACGACACACCTGCATTGCATTTGCAAGTGCAAACAGATGTGTTTGAACGTGGACGCATTCAACGCCCCACGTGTTCAGCGAGTGAATCACACGTGATAATTTTTTTTTAATTTAATTAAAAAAAAAACGTACAACAACAAACACTCAAACACACACATATACGACATATGAACCAAGATTCAAGGACCACCAGCCTCGACGCCAACCATGAATCAAGGTATGTCAATATCTAATACATTAATACCATACAAAATACCTAAATCCCACACATTCTAACACTAACAGATGTGATAAACACAAACACCCTAAGTATCACACAAACACACATACACTAATCTTGACACATACACACAAGTACTCCTTTTTTTCATGCAACAATCACCCTACTTCTAAACCTCACCAATAACGCCTCCTTTATCAATCAAGCATATACAAACTACGGGCTGCGCACCCGTGCCCTCGTGGTAAGTCAATAGGTTCAGCAACAAACACTGAGTCTTTCCTC